CTAAGAACACATATTAAAAAAGTTTATTTATTAAATATACAATAAAAATTATTAACATGATATTGATTTAGAAAATAATTAGTTGTTAAAAATTACATAAATAAACACTTCGCTTCGCTTTATTTTATTTTATTTTATTTTATCTAAATAAATAAAATTTTGTGTAAAAATGAAAATAATGGTGTTGGTGGCCCAATGGTGAAAACTTCAAAATTAGTGTTAAAGGAATGGGGTTCGAATCCCCTTGAGTGCACAAACTTATTGAAAGTTTTCAAAATTTGTGAACTAGATGGTTCATCAGTTCAGAAGTCAACGCGTTTGATTGGGTTTTTTGAGTTTTGATCAGGTTTGACTAACTTTGACTGGGTCTTATTACAAACTGGGTTTATGTCATAACTCGAATTGATTTTGTAATTGATTTCGGTTTAACTGATTAGACCGACCGATTCGGTCTTGGTATTAAAATAGTGCCTTGAATTGATGATGGGTAGCAATGGGCTAACACTTTGGATTTCATAGTGAGCATTAAAGCAAGTTATGTAGTGCTTTGTTATGAGGGCTAGTTTATTAGGAAGTCTTACAATCCTCACCAACTTGCTAAATAGCATCGATTTCAGCAAAGACTTCCAAGAAGGCACATTAAATTGCCTTATAGTCATAAAGTGTCAAACTTTTACTATTTTTAGTTATCTTTAACCTTAGTGAATAGTAACACTTTTTTTCACATCCCCACAACTGAAAGCGAAGTAGCATCCAAGGTTGATCCAGCCTATGTAAAGTGGTAGAATGGAGAAGTTCTTTCTTCAATTTCTGCAATTAGCATCCAATTCTTGAAGGCTAGTGAGACTAGAAATTTCATCTCATCCTTGATGAAAAGCACTATGATCAGACCTCAAAAGAAAAGGAAACAACTTAAGGCACTATTGTCTCTCCCTCACAAAAGCAAAAAATGTCAGCAACCCTAGTCTATCTTCAAAGAAGCAAAAATGTAATAAAAGTTCCCAAGAAGTGTCAAACTCTTTGCAACAGTCACGTCTAACGCTTGTTGCCCCACAGATTACCAATCAAGTTGTGTCTAAAGGTAAACACATTTCCCTACCTTTGAAAAAAAAATCTCTTTTTTTTTTTTTTACCTACCATAAAACTTTCTTGTTACTAACTTGATTTTTTTTTTTATCTTTTTTGTAGAAATATTTAACTCCTTTGAATTGAGAATATTACTAGAAGATGTGGAGGTGATTAGTGTTTTAGATAATTTTCTTGAGACGGACACTCTTGAGAAACTTGAACAACTTCCTATCCAAATTGATGAAGGAGTTTTATCCTTAAATGTTGGCAAGTAAGTAATTGCTAAAGAAAGGGAAGTTAACTCTCTTGATAGATGGTTAATTGTGAAGGAAACTTGACTTAATTCTCCTGCTATAACATCATTTGGTTTACACAAACTTAAGTCTACATTTTCTTGCATCACAAGGCCTTTGGAGCTAATTACTTCTCAAGCATTGGTGAAGCCCATCCTTCATAAAGCTATGAATAACTATGTGCAAAACGAATTTTCATGAAGCTTGCAAAATGGCTTTTCTAGGCTTGGAAAGTGGTGGGCAAAGCAATCTTCTATAATCTTGGAAGCCCTCTAACTTTATTTTTGCATGGATACTAACCCTTTGCTCAAGGTGATGGATGCTTACCTATCTAAGGTTAATCTTTAGTTAACGAAATGAGATGAAATCTCCATCAGCTTAGATGCTAAAGAAAGAGACAAATCTTTTATTGCCTTTTGAAAGGGGATATCATCAAATTAGATTGTTCATGACTCTCTTTTAAAGCAAATCAATGAACTCATATAGAAAAAAGGACCTTTAGAGAGTAAGGTTGAGAGTTTGAAGAAGGTTGGAATCACCTGAGCAATAACATAGTGATGTGACTTCTACCCTTGATTTTCTTTTTGGTAAGAGGTAGATGGTGGAAGAACAACTCCAGTCCAACTCAGCAAAATTGATAGAATTGGAAAACTCTAAAGTTGTAGCCATTGAGACAATTGCTAAAGTAGAGAAGATGCGACAAGACCTTGAAACTGAGTTTGAAATGCTAACAAATGGTACTTAGGTTGAAAACAACATGTGATGTTGTTCATTTTGTATTCTTTTTTTTTTTTTTTTATAGGCTTTGAGCATTCTCTTTTAAAGACTTGTTGAATTTTGGCTTCAACTACTTTGTGAATAAATAAGATGCATTTTCCTCCCTTTTGTTGTTCTTTTCACTTCGCTTTCTTTGCTTGACATAGATATTTCTCCCTTTGTTGCAATACTTAAGATAAAATGATCCATAATCAAGAGTAAACCTTAATTTAGTTTAAGAATTTGACTGAACTTGGAAAAACACCAAGTTGCCTATGTACCCTTTTAGGGATCAAGTCAAATATAGTTGAAAAGTTTTTTTTTTTTTTTGAGCCGTCCACATTTTGTACTCTCACGAGTCAAGAGTATTACATTTCTTTATATATATGTATATATATTGGTCATAAAAATTATACTCTTGTGACTAGGAGTAATACATTTATTTTAAAAAGTAAACCTTCTTGAGGAACTTTCCATTAATGGGACCAATGTGGAGACCATCTTTGTCAATAATCTTATAGGTGCCATTATTGTAAACTTCTATCAAAACATAAGGACCATCCCATTTTGAAGTAAATTTGCACCTTGAATGACGAATGATGACAATTGGCTTTCAAATAGCTAACACCACATCTCAAACTTCAAATGCCCTTGGTTGGACCTTCTTGTTGAATGCCCTAGACAATTTGACTTGATAGCATTCCAAGTGCTGTTGAGTTTCTAGCCTTTTCTTGTCTAAGGCTTCTAATTCCTAGAGGCGAAGCTTAGCATTTTGATCATAAGTGAGACCTTCTTGAATGGAAATTCTGAGAGATGGAATTTGGCATTTGAAAGGGAGGGCAGCCTTAAGTCCATACACGAGGGAATAAAGAGTTACCTTGGTTAAAGTATGGTGAGTCAGTCAATATGCCTAAAGTGTTTTACTAATTCTTTCATACCAATCCCACTTAGACTTTGAAACAACCTTTCTAAGGAGATTGGAAGAGGTCTTATTAAAAGCTTTTGTTAGTCCATTTCATGGCAACATTGTACATGGAGGAAAAATGTTAGGTAAACTTAAACCTTGTACACAGCTCATCCAAGAGATTGTTACTAAAAGGCTTGCCATTTTCTATAAATATATACCTTGGAACACTATATCGGTAAATGATATTAACTCGAATAAAGTTAACAACATTTTCTTTCTTGACATCTCTCAAAGGTATAACTACTGCCTATTTGAAGAAGTAATCAATTGTTGCTAGAATATGTGCATGCCTAATTGACGATTTTTGTCTTATGGGTCCAATCACATATAACCCCCAAGTGTCAAAAGGCCACGAAGCTACTGTTGGATGTAAAGACTTCGATGGCTAGTAGATAAAGTTTGCGTGAAATTGACATGTGTCACATTTCTTCACATATTTCATGTAATCTTTTACCATTGTTGGCTAATAGTATCCCATTTTCCTTATTCAGTAGTAAAATTTTAGGCCTAAATTGATAAGCTCCACAAATTCTTGAATGTACCTCCTTAATCACTTGGATGATTCATCTCCTTCTAAACATCTAAGGAGAACTCCATCAAAAGATTACTGATGAAGGTGTTACAAAAGTATACAAAATGTGGAGCCTTTCTCCAAATTGTTAACTTTTGGCATGGATCATCTAGTAACTTTCCATGTTCTAAGTACTTGTGAAGTCTCGTAAACATAACTTTTAAGTTGTTGAGGTTGCCATCACGTCTCTTGTATTTAACAACCAAGTCATCAACATAACATTCAACTAGTTTATGCAACATGTCATTAAAAATCATTTGCATTGTATGTTGATAAGTGACTTTGGCATTTTTTAACCCAAATGGAATAACTTTATAATAATAGATACCTTTTAGTGTTCAAATAGCTATAAGCTCCTCTTCCTTAAGATCTATGTGAATTTGGTTGTAACTAGAGAATCCATCCATAAAGGACAAGACTTCATGCCCCATGGTCACATCCACCATACTACTGGAAAACTGGGTATATTTGATAAAAAAATTCTGTCAAATATAGAGGGATTTCTGTCGATTATGTCTTAATCGACAGACATAATCGACAACCACATGTATCATATAAATGGCAGTCGATAATGAGTATATTCGATAGAAATTTTAGCTGTCGAATATACTAATTTAATTGACAAATATTGGCTATCGAATATACTCATTATCGACAGAATTTCATTGACAATAAAGATGTTTTAATTTTTACAGGTTATATTCGACAGCCATTACCTGTCAATTAAAACTATATAATTGATAGCTATATAATCGACAGCTAATAGCTGTCGAATATATTTTTTTTGGAAATTATATTCGACAGCTTATTGCTGTCAAATGTGTTTTTTTTTTTTACGATACCATATTCAACAGCATATTGCTGTCGAATATACTTGACAGAAAAATAAAAAAAAAATTGAAAAATCAAAAAAATTCAAAATTAATCTTATATTATTTTTTTATTAATTTTATATAAAAAATCAATAAAACGAACACAATTATCAAGTTTCCTAACAATATATTTATGAAACAATTTTAACAATAATATAAAAAGTAATAGATAATCATAAATAAAATTAAAATGAGCATTTACCTTAATTATTTTAAAATAAGTTCCTTTTCCTACCAAAAATAACAGAAAAAAATATATATCAAGTAATAAGAATTTCAAAAAGAAAAGAAGATGAAAAGTATAAATCACAAAATTTACCTCACATTACTTCATAATCAATTTATGAAAATCTGAAAAAAAAAAAAAAAGAAGAACTATTAGTATATTAAATAATAAGAATTCAACAAAAAAGAGAGAAGGGTGAAAAGAAAGAAGATGATTAAAGGTAATTTATGAAAATATAAAGAGGAGAATGTAAAAGAGGAAAGAAAAAAGAAAATAAAAGGAGAAGAAGCTTAAGGAGAGATGTTATCTGCGGAAAAAAGGAAGAGGAGAAGGAGAAGGGAAGAGGCAAGAAGATGAAAATTAGAAGACAATGAGATATTCTAATGTTAGAGTGATATTTATATGGCAAACATATTCGACAGAAATACTGTTGAATATGTTTAAAATTTAAGTAATTGGGAAATTCAATTTTTTTGCTGAGAAGACACGGAGCGACATTATATTTGATAGCCATTGACTGTCGAACATAGTCATAGTTTTTAAAATTTTTTTTTTTTGCTGGGAAATTCAAATTTTTTCTAGGAAATTCAATTTTTTTCTTTGCTGGGAAAGCAGGGGGTGGGTTATATTCGATAGTCATATTGGCTATCGAATATAGTCACAGTTTTTTTTTCTTTTTTATTTTTTAATCCTTATATTTAAACAAATATATTATCTCTTTAAACTAATTGGCAATTTGATTTATCTAATTATTTATTTTTTGTTGAATTTTTTTTTAGTTTTTCTTTTGAGTTTTTAAAAAAAATTAATTTTCTTGTAAAATTTTTGGTTTTAAAAGTAATAAGAATCAATTTTTTTTAAGCTAATAATTAATTATAAAAATTCTAGTTTGGATAAAGATATATATATATGCTATTTCTTTGTGAAATATTATGTTGTAATTATTTTCTTTTTACTATAAGATTGTTAAATTTTATTAATATTATATATTTTACTTATTTAAACTCAAATACTACATAACTAA